CAAACAGTTTCTGATTTTGTCTTACTGTCTATCCCCAGAGCCCAAGGTGGTGTTTGCCAAGGAGCAGCAGACACGCAGTGAGGTGAAGGCAGAGGCGGGGGCCAGTGCCACACTGAGCTGCACGGTGGCCCAGGCCCAGACCGAGGTGACCTGGTTCAAGAATGGGAAGAAGCTGAGCTCTGGCTCTAAGGTTCGAGTGGAGGCCTCGGGCTGTGAGAGGAGGCTGGTGGTGCAGCAGGCGGGCCAGGCGGATGCTGGGGAGTACAGCTGTGAGGCTGGGGAACAGAGGGTCTCCTTCCGTCTGGACGTCACAGGTGGGTTTTCTTTTTTCTTTTTAAAAAATGTTCTGTAGTGTGCATATTAGGCATTAGGATGAGACACTGCCTTGTGACCTATTTTCTCAGCTTCGCCTATAGTCATTGCTGGCAATTGCTGATCACATTCGGGTGCCTTGATTTTGTGAAGTGCATCTTATTTTTAAAAGATATTGAACTTCCTGACAGTTTTATGAGGAAGAATCCTGACTATTCCCATTTTAAGATGGGCATGGAGGAGCTTTGATTTGCTTAGCCAGACAGTTGCAGAGCCAGGGTTTGGGTTAGGGTTCCTTTCCCCCTGAAGACCTCTGCCCCCCGGTGTCTGCTGTTGTGCGTCTCCTGGTGTGTGGATTCTCGAAACTTCTGTTTGTTTGAAAATATTGATTTTTGGCAGTTGCGCTGGTTGGTTTTGTGTCAGCTTGACCTAAGCCAGAGTCATTTGGGCAGAAGGACTCTCAGTTGAGAAAATGTCCCCATACGACTGGCCTGTATGCAGGTCTGTGGAGCAGTTTCTTAGTTAGTGATTGATGTGGGAGGACCCAGCTCACTGTGTGCAGTACCACTCCTGGGCGAGTGGTCCCGGGGTGTGTAAGAAAGCAGGCTGGCATGGAAAACAGGTGCACAAGTAAATCCTCTTTTGCAACCCAGAACTGATGGTTGAGTTTGAGTTTTGACACACAGGACAGCTCCCAGGGCCGGTTGTGGTGGTAATGAAGCCTGAACATGAGGTTGGAGTTGACGATCCCTGTGGCTGGATGCTTGTTGCAGTGTCGAACTGGCATGTCCTACACACAGATTAGCATTCTGGGCATGTTAGGGATGAATACGACATTAACTCCCTCTTAGGAGAAGTGGGGTGTCAGCAAGTGAGAGGCAGATCTATTTAAAATGGTTCCTCAAGTGAATTGTTTGAATAAACCGCCAGAGATCCTCTGGTGGGGACTTTGAAGTTGTCCTGAGTGTGTGTCTTTAATTCAAAGAGCGATAAAAGAATCGTATGCTGATAACACAACTGATTAAAGATCTTTCTTTGAGAAAGGGATATTTTTAGAAATCTTGAACTTGACCTCAATGGACAGTGAAGGAATCACTTGTGAAATCCACTGAATAATTTTGTCTAGGGCTGGAGAGATGGCTCAGAGGTTAAGAGCACTGACTGCTCTTCCAGAGGTCCTGAGTTCAATTCCCATCAACCACATGGTGGCTCTTGACCATCTGTAATGAGATCTGGTGCCCTCTTCTGGCCTGCAGGCATACATGCTGTATACATAATAAATAAATCTTAAAAAAAAATCCTTAAAACTTTTGTCTAGTTTTATACATTGAAAGAAAACCCTTTACACAGTTGAAGAAAAGAAAGGAGAAAGAAACAAAAAAAGAAAGGGAGACAGAGAGAGAGAGAGAGAGAGAGAGAGAGAGAGAGAGAGAGAGAGAAAACAGGCTGAGCAAGCCATGAAGAGTCCTTCCCCGTGGCCTCTGCATCAGTTCCTGCCTTAGCTTCCTGCCCTAAGTTTTTGCCCAGACTTCCCTTCCTGATGGACTGTGATCTGGACATGTAAGCTGAAATCAACCCTTTCCTCCCCAGATTGCTTCTGGTCACGGTGTCTTCTAGCAGTCGACACCTTGATTAAGGCGGTAGTGTTACAGTGAGGACCTTGTGTGGTTTGCCTGATATCGGGGGACCAGAGCATCTTCGGCCTATGGGCTTATGTCTCTCCTCTGTTGTGGGCATTCTTGGTCTTTGGCTCTTCTGTCCCATCTGTCCCTGCAAGGACCCCTGTTACTCTGGTAGACCCTTTCATGTTCTTTTTTTTTTTTTTTGGTTTTTTGAGACAGGGTTTCTCTGTGTAGCTTTGCGCCTTTCCTGGAACTCACTCTGTAGCCCAGGCTGGCCTCGAACTCACAGAGATCCGCCTGGCTCTGCCTCCCGAGTGCTGGGATTAAAGGCG